TGATAAAAAAAAAACCTAAGAACAAGGTTATGAGCTAATAAATTARTTATGAAACATTTGGTTCAAAATTGAACAGGACGGTGTATACGGACTATTATTAAACTAAAAACAAGAGAAATGTTAAACACGGCTGCATTGAAGCTATAATACCCTTCAAAGATGTATTTATTATGTGTGTAAAAAGTTTTTATCTTGATTTTGATCAGTCAATTTGTATGGCAACTCTATGTTTTATAAGTCCGATATAAACAGTTTTTTGGCAGATTGTAGCCTTGCTTTGGGTGATAAATTTGCGCTTGATCCATCGCTCAATCTCAAAAAATTTCTTCGGAGATTACACCATGTCCTTAGAAAATATTTCATGATAAATTTCATAATAATATTTCGTCAAATAACAAAGTTATTCATACGAGCACTTGATTTTGAACGGCTAGTTTGTATGACAGCTATATGCTATAGCATTCCGATCTGAATAATTTCTTAGGAGATTATATCTTTGCTTTAAGCAACAAACTCGTGAATATATCTCGTCAAAGAAAAAATTTTTTTTTTTTTTCAAAAAAGAAAATGATTCCGATCGTTCAGTTTGTAGGGCAGGTATATGCTATGGTGATCCAACAACGGAGATTCCGACAAACGAGTAGCTTTTTGAAGACTAAAGGCGTGTGCAAAATTTCTGAGGCACTTGTAGTCGCATATACATATGGTATAACAAGTGACGCACCAACAGGGGGATATGGCTCAATAGACTAAKCCCGTTACGCTGTTCATTTAGAATTTGAATTTTAAAAAGTAAAGTAAAAATTTAATTAAATATAATTTATTAGTCTTATTCATTTGAAATAGTATTTTTAAAAAAATAATCATATAAGTATTTTCCGATTTACTTTCTTCTTTCTCTATTTTTAATAAATAAAAAGTTAATAACTATAATAAAAATTTATGTATCTTTATTTATTTATTTTTTTTTTTTTTTTTGCAATATTATATTTGTAACTTAATATTTCATTAACCTGTTTTAGCCAATTAACTTCACACACCTTCGCTTATATTTCAACGGACTGCTTGCTTGTGCAGTAACTGCATTCACTCTTACTCGTAATAGTCTCCGCCGGATGATTACAATTTATTATTACCCCGTTGTTTTTATCAACAATCGTTCAAACTCGATAAGATACCGTCGAATTCATCAATATTATTATTTATTTGCTTTCATTTCTCTTTCATAAGTACATATCTGTATATGTATATGTATTATAGCATTGAAATGAAAGCATGTAATGTGAAATCAATTGTTAGAGGTCAGTTGTGTTTCAAGCTATTTGCTTTTGCTAATAAATACATAAATATACACATTTGATAACGAAATTATTTATTGGTTTAAATCCAGTAATTGACCCCCAACGGATTACGATAACACCAAATGTTTCTTAAATTGGAAATATTTCCAGTACATGCAGCATGTTGGAGAATAAATGGGCGCTTTGCGCATTATTAAGGAAAATTTGGATTTTATTGAGGTTTTGCTGGTTTTGAAAGCGGTTTTTAAGCTGTATAGTTGATTAATGTTGTTGATTATCAGACGGTGTCTWCATATGTATGTCCTACGTTGGCTTTTAAGACAATTCATTTTTTGAACAAGCTTTAAGGAGAGGAAGATATTATACTTTWTGCTTATTTTTCTAAAGGTTAGTAATTTTTTATTGTTATAATATGGTAATATTCATATCTTGTCCAACTCGCTATATCTACATATATAAAAAAATTTATCAAATTGATTGACCTTGAAATATTTCATTTTGTAATAGAAAATTTTTCGTATCGCTCTCTTCTCCAATAAAAATCAACGATTGAAAATAATAAAATTATTCCTAAAACCTTTGAATGAGTTGGACCCTATCAGTGTTTTAGACAAAAAATTACTTTACAATGATATGCAGAGCAAATTCCGCTGAACATTGCATCTGATAATAGAACCAATTACTTTGCATTCCATTGAAATAAGCGAAAGAATTTATTSTAGTCCATTGATATAAAATTATAAAATCCTACTTTTTTAAAAGTTGAACTGTTTAAAAAGATATCTACAAGGGTATTATTCAATTTTTTCAGAGTTTTATTCTTTACCCAGATAAAGCTATTTTACAAACCCGACATTTAAAAACTGATTTGAACATTTCTACGATAGTCGGGTATACGTAACCGGAACGGATCCGGATTTTTATGCGACCAAGGACTGTSAAGTCTTCAGAATTTTGTCACTAYAACAACAACAACGTATATAACCCTTTTAACAAGCTTCCAAAAGGCATTGGTTTCACTTCCATCTACAACTTTTTGAAGTCACTAATTAAAAATTCGTTGTAATCTCTCGTACTCAATGCAGTATCCATGATTGTAAAATTTTTTCGTTCTTCGCTCATACAGATATTAATCCTCTAAACACCACACCTTAACCTTGTAGTAAACCAAAAATAAACCCAACCAAAACAAATGAGAGAACAATGTGTTTTTTTTTGTTTTTTTTTTTTTTGTATTTCAAACATTAAAATAAGATTTTTATTAAATTTTAACTAGTGTTTTAGAGTTAATCATTATCATTACTTGCAGCTTGATACTTTTTGTTTAGCAGCTGCTATTATTTCAATATTAATTACGATTAGGTATATCGGACATACACTATTGTAGGTTTACATATTTATAATATTTACTTCTTACACAACTATTCACATGACTAGCATGTGGAATATTTTGCTTTATACATAGAAAAAAAATTTAAAAAATTACACGCCAATCACAACGYTCTGGGCGTAGCTAAGCACACGACGCCGCTCGCCGCAGCTACACATCCCTGTGCACACCATTAACAATTCAAATTTTGCTTTATGAATAATTTTTATGTAGTCTTTTTTGCATTTTCTAGTTTTATTTTTCCTTTTTACACAATTTTTATTTAACAATTGTTTTTTTTTCTTGGTTTTTTTTGTTTACATAAAATGTATTTTCATTTGCATGTGCTTAGATATTAACTGTTTAATGGTATATATAATTAATTAGGTAACCTAACGGATTAACCGACGTCATTCGTTCATAGTTTTTATTGCATTTAGCTAAGCTTTCGTGAAAAAATGTATAATTTATTTGCAATATTTTTTACATACATACATTCTATTATTAAGTTGATGCACTTGCATTGTTTATTTTTTATTTTTGTTTTTGCTATGGTTTTTATGTCGCATGTGTGGGTGTTTTCTTGGAGCGCCTGCAATCTACAGTTGTTAATTTTATTTTGATAGCGGTTTTGCAACTTTGTTGCTTTTTACATGCAGTTTTTGTATTTTTACCAATTCTTTGCTCGGATTTTTAAGTTTTTATATAAAAAGTTGTAAGAAATCAGCTAGAAATTCATTGGCCTTGCATTTTTGTGCAAGTTGAAATTATTGCAGG